GGTAATTTTACTGTATATTATTGACAGTTTCAACAGGAATACGAACGGGTACTCATACATTGCAAGGAAAAAAGAGAGATCGTGGAAAATATATATAACACAGTATGATAATATATAATCATTTTTGTCTCAAAGTACCGCAAACTAGTAAGGAAATTAGATATTGAATTAGAAAAGTTTCGTCTCGAATTGGAGGCGGATAACTCAGGCATAACGGAGCAAATAGAGAAAAGTACATCCATATTTTAAAAAGCAACACGTTTTAGAAGTCCAAAATGCATTGGGAAAATCGATATCAATGGCCTCAAAAGCAGAACGTATGTTTCACTTTATATAATATACTTTTATAGGTAGACGCCAAAGATTACGATTTCAACAGTCTAGCCATTGCAAAAATAGCTTCTCTGTTAGAAGACGACTGGTCGGTCCGGCCTTCAGAGCAGCACTTAAATCTGCTTGTATGAGACCTGTGAATTCAGGTGGAGTTTCATCTGTAGAAAACACTAGTTTTTCACTCAACAGTGACCAAATACCCCTTAATAATTCTGGGTTGATTTCCGCACCTGGATCCCATGTTCAAGAGAGTGGTTTCCACCGAAAAAACAACCTCCACTCAGATAGTCTGGACCCTATTAAATCTGTTGATGAAAGTAAGTTTGTGTGTGTAGACACATATAACCTATTTTCTAATGTGACCCATTTTCAATACGTACAACATTCAAAACCTGGTGCAGTTGAACACATTCATAACTTTATCTATTTCCTCCAATTCACACTTCATTTACTTGCACACAGGTGTTAGTCACTTCTAATTCATGGACTTTATCTCTAATAGCTGGTTTGCTGTCAAGCCCAAACTAGTGAGTCTGTCACTGATTGGTTTCCAGGACGCTAAATTTTTTAAGTGAAATGTTGGTGCATACATATAATATAAAGCGTTAAGTAAGTTTGTCCTCACTTGAGTGTGGAGCTGTGGCTGATTGGTCTAGGAGTTCAGTTTTCAACTTCTGGGTCATAGGTTAAAACACCATTCCACCTATTGAGATTTGGGCAGCCAAGTAACATCAGTAGTCTTTACAAAACAGATGTGGTTCATTCGCAACTGAGTGATATTCCTCGTTTGAATCTTTTAGCTGTAAACGACGGTCTATAAAAGTTGCGGTGCTTTGTTGGATGTTTATACCGCCTAGCTTAATACATGCAGGGTATAATAAAAGTTAATATAAATAGTGTGGAACCTGGTGTAACAATTCAGAGAGTGCGGTAGGAACTTTCTCTACGGTTACATTACCTTCATTAAATCAAACAAGAGACCAGAGTAAAGTTGGATTGTATTCAATTATAAAACTAGGGACATCATAAGTGTACTGAAATGACTGATACGGTACTTCTGTTTTTTTTTAAAGTTCTAGTGACGATACGTTCTGAAAGTTTTAATAACAACCTTTGTATAGTGTCGGCTGGCGTGAAGAGAACTTCTAATTTTGTCCGGGTGATAATCTTGTCTGTGCTTATATGTTACGGAAGTATATATTTATTTTGGTCGGTGGCACAGCGGTAGGATGCTCACCGACCACGCATGTGGTCCGGAGACCGATCTCCGGCCGACGTACTCCTTTATCTCACTAAGCCAGCAATAAGAATGGTAAAGAGGGAAGGTTGAGCGTGAGGCTAACAACCCCATCCCATAAAAATATATACCACTGCTATCGGAACTTCAAGCCTCTAGCTCGAAGCCCTATATTCCTCTGGGAACGTAAAGGAATAGAAAGACCGCTCATCCAATATTTGTGGTCTATAATAGTCGTATTGTATTAGCAATATGTAGGACTGTAAAATATTTTGACATGGACAAATTAAAAACGTAACATTTCAATAAGTAGAATTTATACAAGCAATGTAAAAAAACACCCCATGGTTTTGTAGAAGAGACTGGTAGATATCCTTAAAACTGACAACTTGAATGTAAAGGAGCTAAATTATTATTCTGGTGGATTGTCTTTTATTTTACGGAGTGTTAGATATGGAAACCTAGAAAAAGATATTTAAATGTGTAATTTTGAATATAACGACACTCACTGTCCTCACAAACATTTTCTGCAGATTTTATGTCTCTGGATCACCAATCTAGTGACAGTTCCTACGAAAGAACCTTCGATACTGCGTAAGTTCAAGTTCCCGTTTATTTTAAAGTTTGTAGTGTAGCAAAGCATTGTATGAAACTAGGGTACGTCTTTTTGTCTAACTAAACATATTTTTACCAGTCAAGTGTAGTAACAGAGTGCATCGAAACCTCTGCCTGGTAATTTTGCAGCCTTAATCGCGCACAAACGATAAAAAATTGTGACAATCCTGAGTACACACGTGAAATAATTCACGTCAGTGTCAAACTCCAGGCAGAACATCATACCTTCTAATTCTCAGCCCCGAGATATTAGCAGGATTGACCATTATCCATTCATTATTCACTCACTATTTTCTTCATATGCTCCCAATTAAATCCTGACCGTCATCCGCCTAATTGATTGAGAAATTCGTGATTAAGACCAATACACAATAAAGCTTCATATATATATCCTCCTTGCCTAACGTCTACTTTCGGTGAATTCATTCATTTAGCTGTACAATCGCAATTATGTATAATTATTTTTGCATTTGTGTGTACATTAGTTTTTTCAGATAAGAATAAAAATTAGTTAGGGTCGTTTTTTATGTCATCAAAATCTTTCAAAAATTATGGTGAATAATCAAATTGTAACTAGCGGAGTGAATATTAGTATGAGAGTAGTGGTGATGAGTTGTCAAAAATATTTGTCAATGTTAGTCGATGCATAAGAGAAGTTGAATTAGCGTATTGCAGTTGCGGAACAAGATGAATAATTTAATGAGTGCGTTTTGATTAGGATGTACATAGACATGAAGGAAAATATGGAATTATGTAAGCCGTTGTGAAGAAATACAAGAGTTAGAAAGGCAGGCACACAAACATCGAGTCAGTAGAAATCAACACGGTTATTGCCAATAATAGTAGAAGTGGTTGGATGATTTTCTTTTGTTGATATAACTTATTTTGCCAGCTGAATGGCAAGGCTTCAGCTCCAGAATATTTGTTTAACCCATGAATGCATTTAAGGATTAACGTCAGTAGTTTGCTAGCAATCAAAATGCATTAGCCTTTTTCAATGGTTTACCATCATTGATCTAAACTAAACTTGTATTAATACCACTGTGAACTGGCTTTCTTATAAAACAGCATCGCTATCAGTAAATAAACGTAAGACATAGGCAATAATAATTACATGGAGAATGATGATAGTTTAAAGAGTCAGAGATCACAAAAGTGAATGCATCCGCTTCGTAGGGATCGATTTAGGGTTATGTTAACAACACTTCTCGAGTCACTGCATTTTAGCGTCTCGACGAACCCAACCAAAACGGCCTACACTTCTATACGCGGCTTAGACCAAAACTGTCTTTTATATGGTCATATCTCTTTTGCAACCCGACTCTATGTCAGCTAACATTGCCCGCTGTAGAAGACAATGGCTCAACATACTTAACAATTCAGCCTCACAATCTCATCTACTGATTTTCTCTACTTACCTAAGACTGTACCCCTAAGCTCAACATTACTGAACATATTATACCACCTAACACAACAGATAGAAGACAAACGCTTATGATTAGAGACTGCTGGCCTTCTCATTTTCTCACAGTCGTGTAAAGGATGGATGAACTTTATACAATATTTTCGAAAACACAAAGAACACCTTCAGTTCTTAAATACCACTTGGTACTTGTTAAACACTAATTTTCATCGTATCAGAAAAGCATACCTTAGTTGGAATATCTTAAAGCATTCAATACTTAGATATAAGCGAATGCTGATTTTCACTAAATAACAGTCAGTCATCTTCAACAACACTTGCCTAATGTTATATAGTTCTCAAATTACAGCTTTTTTTATCCTCTTTACTTGATTTGTCAGGGTTAATTTGCCACCAAACGTTATTACAAAGCTCGAAGAGGATTCTATAAATATCCAAAATATGGGTTCTGGATTTTCATCCACGATTTTAAAAAACAATCCATGCCTTTTACAAGAAGTTCCAGTGGATTCTAAAACTCACGTTGGAATACACGATCGCATGATCAGAAGCACTAACTCTACCAATAGTCATCTATTCTACGATGCAGCAGAAACTAGCTTGTCAGATCGTGAAAAGCTCAATTTGACACCTAGATCAAGTTCAATCGATACGCAAATCACAGAAGATATAGGAGTACCTGGCTGGTCGACATTAACGCCAGGTACTCGAGAAAAACGTCGACATCCTAGGAGACAGGACCTCACAAATGATGACTTAGTGAAGCTTGAAGATTCATCTATTTGTGGTCTTAACATATCACCGGAAGATGCATTTGATGACCATGTATATGAATTTGATGTTCATCCAAAAGCGGAAAATACCACTGACAATCCAGATGATGATGAGGACTGCAAACGTTACTGTATTTGCAGAGATGTAAGTTATGGAGACATGATAGCATGTGACGCTCCAGACTGTCCTTTTGAATGGTTTCATTATGCTTGTGTGAACTTAACTGTTGCACCGAAAGGTCGATGGTTCTGTCCGACATGTTCTAAGTCTATTGCAAACAAAAAGAACCCTAAGAAAAGTTCGTCTAGGAAATAATAGCTGTTAATTTCGTCTTTTTATAAATAAATAAATAAAGTGACAGTGTATGTATATAATTATGGTATATTTAAATATTTTTTGAACTATGTATGAGCACAAACAGTGTTTAATAATGGCAATGCGATTCAATTACATATAGATGAATAAAACAATATTATAATTATGTACACGGTCACAGCATTTGATACGTCGAAGAAGCACAAAAATTCTATTGTAAATTATTCAATTTACAAAGCTACTTTATACAGTGGTGTTATAGTTTATTGGAAACGTAGCAGAGCATAATAGAAGTGCTTCATCTTATGATGACTGTGTCGTTGACGAAAACATATTGGACGTACCAACTGTAGGAAGAAAAAATCCAACTTATTCGTTAAGAAAAGAGAAAATAATTCTATTGTAATTTGTTTATTGAATATATTACACAGTGCAACAGTATGATTTAGTGGATGATGTTGAGAACACAATTTATTATTCATGATCCAGGCAGGAATAAAAATGGCATCACACACCAACAAAAACACTTAGAAACACTCTAGACAAGTTGAAGAATCTTGTGAAGCTCACTACACAAACTGATTCAGTTTATCTGATGCTCAGCAACAGTATTAGAGTCATAGTAGTAAGCAAGGTTAGTGGAGCACAAAGATTTAACAAAATCTAGACCAGTGGACCCTAATAAGATTAATCAAGACACAAACTCAGCTGTAACACTAAATGCACTTGCAAACAACCATACAATATGATGGGACAACTTGAAAGTCTTAAAGCCTAATGTAACATGATGGAGGAGGAGATTGATAACTGAATCTATATTTATCAAATCAACTGAGAAAATATGCAATAGGAATGATTAAACATCTGTCCACCCGGACAACTAGGAAGTCCTACCGCCTCTAAGAAAAATGTGGATAAAGAACGAGAACAATAAAGACAGAGTTTCGGAATTTTGTGCTTACAACTGATACACGATTATGAACAATCAATTGGGAATCATTAGATAAAACTGTTTTGCTGTGATGTATCCAATAAACAAACTAAAATAGAATTGCATACTACCACAGTGTCCAAGCTTTGCACTTATTTTGAAAGAGACTACGCATGATGCGGAGCGGCAAAGATTTATACGTACATATAGTTGGATTATTATGCGTCAGTGGCACAACGACAGAATGCTCGCCAGCCACTCAGGTGGTACAGGGTTCGTTCCCTAATTGACGCACTCCTTTACCTCGCTTAACCAGTGATAAGACTGGTAAACAGAAAAGGTTGGGCATAAGGCTAGCAACCCCATCCAGTAAGAATAAACACCACTGCTACCGAAGCTTCAGAGCTCTAGCTTGCAGCCCCGTGTTCCACTGGTAATGTAAAAGGACAAAATAATAGTTGGATAATTACTAGTAGATTGCTTGGAGTCCACTGAAACTCAATAAAGCATTTAGGGGGAGGGGCTTCGAGCAGTGTTCCACTAGTATCACTTTTAGTGATAAAAATTGACATCTACGAACACAAAAGACGGTTGTGCGTTAGTAGGGTCTTAGCCCATATCAATGACAATTGTGCTGTTTGTGCATAAATCTTTACGCTCCTTAAAACCACCCAGATTAGTGTTACAGAACACAACTAACCAACTGCAGTTTTACAACAGTATCGCTGTTTGAGAGAGTGGCTCATTCACTTAAACACTGAGTCTTCAGTAGAGGAATCCTGAGTTCAAGTCTTGATCCTATTACTTCAACTTAGGCAGCATCATCAACCTTCGCAGCATGTATCGATCATGAAAAATCTGTTCCGCGTAAATGAATTCTAGCCAAATGCTAATTGTACCATTAGGATGAATGTCGGGTTTACTACATCTTACTACTGTGCGACTACGACCTGAAAATAAAAAGTGGAGAGTGAGAAGAAAGAACTGTATAAATTTTTACAACTACCAAGTAATGACGACAATATCCCTCATGGGTTATAATAGTTCTTTCGATACTAAGTGGGACGAATTTTGAAATTAGAATCCCACCGCACCAAAATTGGGTGCTTAAGCCAACGATATCATGAAGATTACTTGTGTATCGTGTAACCACTAAATGGAAAAACGGATTAGACATATGATTCTTATTTAAGTTCGTTGGTGAAATGGAAACTATAGCAACTTGGACGGTTGCATATAAATGTCACAAAGTTTGATATCCATGAAACAAATAGTTTCTCAAAAGTTTGACATTTAGCTTTGTACACGCCACATTATTTTACGTTCTTCTGAGCAATAGAGACTGGTTACCTACTACACCTGGTGTAGGGAACACAATGCATTCGGGACATACTGATGTGTTAAAGTAGCTAACATACTGTAGATAACATTGATGAGCGTTATAGGTTAGTCACGTAAATACCTCTTTTTCCAAAGGTGATGTTTCATTCTCAATTATAGTAATTCTTGATATCAATGGTCTCCACTAGCTTGTACAGTTACAGTGAACAAATTATTTCTATAGTGTAAACAATGGTAGATACGTTCGGAAGATTATTTGGTAGGTAGTTGTAGTAGGTCTTTCCGACTACGTCATCGTAAGATTATAGTAATGGAGACCCAATATTTTTTCCAATTAAGACATAGCTCATTATTTGAATCTGCTTTAGGCATGATGACTGTCCTGTTCCGCAAGGTACTGAAGGAGATATTAGTAAGAATAAACCAACTTTACCGTAGATTTTTACGTGCGTGCACTTACCTGCGTGTTCATTTTGCTCGTGGTTCCTTCGTGACTCCGTATCAGGAAAACATTTTAAACATTCATGGCAAGCAAATACTTTTGAAGCTGCAATGTTAAAAATAGGTAAAAAATTAGTCACATATGTTAGAAATGCTGTATGGGGAAAAGCTAATCGGAAACTTACTATTATGAACTGTCAAGTTGTGTTCCAGTAGAGCAAACTTCGATGGGAATATCATATTACACGGTGAACATAGGCTAATCGAATCTATGTAAATTTTAAAAAACAAAACAAATATCGCAATCAAATGTATGCCGTGTTCAATTATGGTCGCATTGTGAAATGTTTGGCGCATCAAAATTTTGCTCGGCTCATTCGGGTATAAAAATGAAGTATTAAGTTATCATTAAAATTGATGTAATGCTTTTCTGTAGTGTGCATAGATATCTCTGCCACCTTGACGGGCATAAGAAATTACTGGCATCGAAACAGTTACGTCCCCAACTAGATCGAGATATTGAGCCCCTATTTAAGGAGGAAATAGCGAAACGTGTATCAGACGTCGACAGCAGGACTTCCCCTGAGTTAGCCTGGCACAACACACAGCTGTAAAAGCTGCTAATAATCTAAAACCAAAAGTTAGTAAGAGCCATTGGATCTCTACCGCCTCATCCGAACTGATTGACGCAAGGAGACTGATTCCAGCGAGCTCCGATTATGATAAGGAGCGAAAGCTACTCAGAAGCAAACTAGCAAGAAGCCTACGTAACGACCGTGAACAGTAGTGGTGAGGAGCAGTTTAATTGGCCTACAGCCACATTCAACCTGCCGAACATCCAACACCTCCCTGAATGGGGCATAGACACAGGTCCTCCGTCCTTAACTGAGGTTACTAAAGCTGTTACTAATCTGAAGCAAGGCAAAGCAGTGGGACCTGATGGATTGACTCCAGAGGTATTTAAGTACGGTATTATTATTATTTTCCTTTAATTCCTAGAGGAACATAGGGCTTCAGCCATGCGTCTCCATTGCGTTCGGTTCTCTGCTGTAGTTTTCACCTGGCTCCAAGTCTGCTCACACGCTTTCAATTCCTCTTCACATGATCTCCTCCAGGTCACCCTTGGACGACCAACTCGTCGCTTCCCTTTCGGGTTCCACTCGAGGGCTTGTCTAGTGATGTCACTTGCTGGTTTCCTCAGAGTGTGTCCAATCCATCTCCATTTCTTCCTGCCTATTTGTTTCACGATCGGTTCCTGGTTGGTTCGCTCCCAGAGATCTTTGTTGCTGATCCTCTCCGGCCATTTGATCTTCAGTACGGTGGAGACAGTTTACTGTCTGCATTAACTGAGGTTCTAGGCAGCGTCTGGGAATCAGAGGAAGTCCCGTCGGGTTGGTGTAAGTCACTGATCATCCCGATAAACAAGAAGGGGGACAAGTCTTCATGTGATAATCACAGGGGGATTAGCGTGACTAATATGGTATCTAAAGTTTTAGATCCAATAATAATGCGTAGACTAAGTGGTGCTCGGGAGGCACAAACATGTGAGAACCAGGCAGGTTTTAGACCAGGGAGAGGATGTATTGATCATATCTTCACTCCTCGACAGATTCTGGACCATAGGCATACTTATCGGCGTCCAACAATCGTTATATTTCTTGACCTAAAGGCGGCATTCGATTCTGTCGACAGAGGTACTATGGCGATGCTTGGCTGTAAAGGGAGTGCCGAGAAAACACATTGCACTGATTAAGGCACTCTACTCGAACTCATGCAGTCAGATGAGAGCTTACGGCGAGTTGTCACCTGAACTGGTGACAGGGATGCCTACTATCCTCGTTTCTATTCAATTTCATCATAGATGTACTAATGGACTTAACCCTAACTCACTTCAGAGACTCAGGGATCGACTTGTTACCAGCGAATAATCTCGTTGATTTAGAATATGCAGACGATATAGTCCTTGTAGGTGAAGACGCTGACAAAATACAGAGTCTTCTGAACACCTTGAGCTGCAATCTACGAATGTTTGGCATGCGGTTCGCTCCCGCCAAATGTAGGATGATGTTACAGGACTGAACTACATTGACTCCTAGCTTAGAAATAGGGAGTTAAGTGGTAGGGCGTGTTGACCGCTTCACTTATTTGGGAAGTACCATCAGCCTCAACGGGTTGATCGCTGACGCAATTTTAACACAAACAGAGAGGGCTCGTTTCGCATGTGTCAGTTTACGCCGTCTCTGGCGTAGACGTGATATCCGGCTTTCGACCAAAGGGTGGATGTACTGCTCAGCAGTCTGCTCCATCCTCCTTTATGGCTATGAGACATGGCCATTGAGAGTGGAAGACATGAAAAGACTAGATGTCTTTGATCATAGGTGCCTGCGTTCTATCTCCCGTGTGAAGTGGTATAATAAGGTGAGCAATATTGAGGTTAGGCGTCGAGTGCTAGGTAAAGAGGGGAAATCAATCGACGAGGCTGTGAAGCTACATTGACTGAGATGATTAGGACATGTGTTACGACGCATGCCTAGTCATCGCCTTCCTCGACGGGCAATGTTAGCTGGCATAAGGCCAGGCTGGAAAAGAGCTAGCGGCGGTCAAACGAAAACATGGCACCAGTCAATGAAATCTACAACAGTTAGTCTAGGCCACGTAGGAAGGTGTAGACTTCCTGGTTGGGGTCCTCGGGACGGTAAAAATCAGTGGTTGGAAACAATTGGTGACATGGCTCAAAATCGTTCTCGATGATGGCGCAGATGCATCCACTCCACTTATGATTTCCAATTAAACTGTTTTGTTCTTCGTTGTTACTATTCCTTTTGTCTCATATCTCTGTCTACTGTCTCTTTCTTCTCTTGCTTTGTGTGCTACATGGAGTGTGGTGACTTGAACTGCTGCACATCGGTGCAAAGTTCGGTGTTGAAAACAGACAGATATGTGGAAAATAAATAAAGCAGACACGAATGGTTTCATATACAACGAAGAACAACTACTCATCAACTTAGTTGTAATATCTTATTCTCTATTAGTTTTGTCTCTCTTTGGACTTGTAGCACTTTACAATCTTAAGTTGTATTACTTCTATTTCTTTCTTATCTTCTGCTTGATGTGTGGATAGAATTTATAACAACTTGAACTAATCGATGCATTCGATTGACTAAATGCATCTTCACACATTCCAGATGTGAAAATCCGTGAATGAAATAATATTGCATCGAAGTTAGTATTTTACACCATTCAAATGGAGCGATCCCAGAGTGAATCACAAAAATTAGTCTGTCCGTTGATGTACCTCAGTAAAAAAACAGCAGCTCTTGATGAAGTAGGATATATTCAAAAACGTATTCATTACCCTCGACCGGTGACGTGGTGATCGCGCTTGGATATCGCAGTGATCCAACGAACTGCACTGGCTCGAAATAATGTCTTTTCAGGTCCCACCATGGCATAAAGATCGGTTGGATATCGATCAGATGAAAATTAGACTAAAAGAGGTCACCAACACAGTGTAAGTAGTTGGGGGATTCGGGTGAAGTAGGTGTTTATCTCTAATAACAAGTTATGATGCCCCCCGCTCAAGAGAGGGGTAGTTATAAAAGTTCACTATCATTTTGCTTTTCTCCTTCTCTTAGTACTAGCCGAAAGACAGGTCCCTCTTCACTTAATTCTGCAACCACTAAGCGTAGCGAGATTCAGAAAAACAATAATAATAATAGCCCCTTAAAACCCCACTGTTAAATTCATATTAGAGGATTTAACGTTAGGACCCTTTGCCAGATCGGGCAACGTGCTTCAGTAGCCAGTACCCTAACATATCCAGTCATGGATGTATGCTGTGTTTTAGAGAAACGCATACAAGACCGAAGTGTGGCTATTCATTTAACTCCGCCTGGTTGACAAAGTGAATCTAAAAAATTCACCTATCGGGTGTCAGGAGATTCTTCAAGTTCGCTACGGTAGAAAAACCCATTCTTGACTGAAACCCAGTGGATAGCGTTATGTGTACTGTCCGGTCGAATTCATCCGTTAGGATGACTGTTCTTTTAAACGTCTTTATTATTGTGTACCATTAGGAGTGTGGCAACTGGAACTGCTACACTTCTGTGCACAGTCCTATGTTGAAACTCAATCGGTCAGATACGTATTGTCGCTAGTTAAAATAGAACACAAATTTGGGAAGTCTTTTTTGGAACTACCTACTTTAAATTCACTGATGAATTTATTCACTTTAGCCGTAAATTTGTTCCAAAACAGTATGCAACGTTAAAAAAACAGTAGCGCTTTTTTGCACTAACAATTACCTGAATGCACAGTTTTGGTATGACGATTGAAAGCAAATTTCGTTGAAAAACTTCGATTACATAGTGGACAAATGCACAGTTCAGCACCTAAGTGATGAGCATCGAGACAACGATTAGTGTTGTGGATACAATATAATATATAAAATGAATTAGGATTATTAGGACATATAATCAAAGTTTTAGTTAAGTGTTATAACTGCACTGAATTGAATAAACCCGTTACCGCTTTGTTATGTCTGCATCTGCCAATTGTTATAACGATAGTGAACTCGACTGATACGCTAGTATGCCTATTTGTCCGTTGTACCTACCGATTCACTGAGCCACGCAAACAACAAAAGACAAAGGTTGGCCTGTGACTGTATGATATCGCATTGTACACCTAGTAGGAAACAAAATATCATATTTATACATTCCTTTAGCACAATAAAGTTGGCTCACAACCGTGGGAATGGATTGTTCTTATTGGCTAGAAATATCTATCCTGATTGGTTGACGATCCGACAAAGACCACGGTGAGACAAAAGACGGTGAATTGATCACACACTAAATCACAATATGCGTGAGAAATGATAGATTAACATAGTAACTCCATCACAAGATCAATCACAATTCGTGAGAAAGGATGATATACTATTTTATTCTGGGTCCCACCAATAACGTGAATACTTTAGGCTGGTGTTCATCAGTTAACCCTCAAATCGAGCAGAATATAATGTCCATGGTGTCACCTGAAGCCTGTAAAACACTTCAACTAAAACAAGTATACCTCAAAATTTAAACATTATGTATCATATATATATATATATATATATATATATATATATATATATATATATATATATATATGGTATTGTCATAGTACTTACTTTCATGTATCAATCGCATATGACGTTCTAAGCCATGTTTGGCAGAGAACTTTTTCCCGCAACAAGCACAAGGGAGAACAAGTTCCGATATTCCTATAAGCAAATTACAAAAGGTCAATTAATAATAAAATTGGAAAAGTAATCAGAATGATAGTAAATGTACGTATTGATTAGGAGGATGCACCTTACTAATTGACCTTAAGACTAAAAAATATGACACTAGTAGGAACCGTCAATATAGGAGTATATTCTTAAATGCAAAATGTTTTTAAAATATGTCACGTAGCGATGATAAGATAATAGTGTGGTGAGAGCTGTCTGCTAGCCAAAATTCTAGACAACAATTTACGTCAATGTTTACATACCGAATCGAGGACATGAGAGAAAACATTACCATAGCTTAACCTTGAGGAATTTACCAACCAATCACATCAGAATTAGCGCGTGCAAATACGATTCGCAGATATATGACCTGACTTTCTAAGAAACGGTTACAAAGAGAAGACAGAATAACCTTGAGCAAGAAAACAACGAACCAGAAGACGTTGCTTCTCATCTAATAATAACGAATAGTAATATACATAAAAATATATATCTCTTAATTTTCTGTCGTTACAATAGTACTTCACCTAAATATATGTACAATTTTAATTATAAACGTTCTGAGTGTCAAAGGTTGAGGAATACATTTTTAAATCAAAATCCCCAAATACTTTATATTCGATCAGATCATAGTTTTATTATCACTCTAGAAATGTATTCATCATATAAAGTTTAATTCCAAAATTATTTATTTACTAACCTTCATGAACTCTACGAATATGACGATGAAGAGCGAACTTGGTTGTAAATTTCCGGCCACATGAGTCACACTTACACTCCTCAAGACCTGTAAAGATTTAGGATACGGAAAAAGGGACTGAAAGTAGGATGCAAATATTCTTTATTTGTTTGAATTAAATGGAGTATCTGATCCACGGCTATTGACAGACGAACACCTATAAAGTGACAGCGGAAATTATCAGTTGGAGGTTATTGTAGTTGTTAATGAGGCTGACGTACAATTACTCATAATTCAACCATTAAATAAAGGATTCGAGAATCACTCTACCTGCCGTGCTTTGTGCAGGTAGCAAGCATCATTAGCCGTCATTAAAAAAATGCAGCTCATTATTTACAACATAATTCTTTTCTCAAGTATTTATCTGCAGGGGTCTCATTAGTTTCAAATTAGATCACAGATTCACATCAGTTAGGGAATCAGGTGGAATGGTCAATACGAACATCATGGGTTCGAACCCCGTTGGAGTCACTGAGGAGTCCCGAACTAAGGCAAAACAGTACTCCATAGTTTTCAATGGTTTTCTAAATGATGTCATTTCATTAAAATACGTTTCGTACAGTAGGAATCCTACTTTTGTCTTTATTCTTACCGTGGGATTTCATTTTCATTGAGAATATTCTACCGCTTCAGGACACATCCTTTAAATATTTGACTCACCCTGGTTACAGGATAAGTGGAAGAAACACAGCGACACAATGGAGTTATTATTTTGTTGCTTTTTGGTATTTTAATTCCTCCCAAAAGTTTTAAATATTATTTAACATCCTGAATTAGCACAAAATACTGAAATATGACACAAGAACTACATGGAGATATATCCTTTCAATGCGACGGATTTCTAAGTTTTATAAATTGTTCTCGATTGGTGTTCTTGCTAGTCAACTACTGAGTTGTGAAAGTGGTTCTTTTCTGTCTTAATCAGAAGTTATTTTCTAGAAACCTATTGAAATAAGCTTCATTTTCATCAATGTAGCAATTAAACCTGAAACGGCAGAAAAGACTTGGTAACGAGCCTTTAAAAAGAAAAACACAACATATTTATATATCCTTAGCCACATTAGAGTCCAGCTACGTCAGGGAAGATTAAATTCCTTTGATTGGTTGGCACTTTGTCCAAGGCCACACAAGCTGTCCAATGAGGTTATTTCATGTCCACAACGTGAACTAAATCCAGATTTGAGGAATAAGCACTTCTACCTCAGCGACCATTGACTTAAAATGTTGATTACAATTTTGGCCGCTTCCTATCAATCTGCATCACGCAACAACCCTAAAATAATAGAGATTATTTGTAACTTAGGATGAGGACAGAATTCATTTCGTGTTCTCCAAACTTCCATATTCGATGATAGAGGATATCTCATCGATGGGACTAATAACACTGTCCGGTGTGGGTCTTTTGTTACTAAGAAGTGAGGCATATTTACCAATTACATGAATATCTAGGTTTTGTCCCTGTAACTGTTCACCTCTCCTTGAGGAAAGAGATTTTTTGTTTCGCTATCTCATGATCTTATGATATGGTATCACAAGTGAGAGAGTCAACTCCGTTTCTAGCGTGTAGTATATTAATTTGTGTACTTTCAACTCGAATGCCGCCAAGCGGATTTTAGTGGTACTTTGTTCGAATATTTGATTTGACTGTGATAGTCTATCACACATGCAATCACTCAACAGATTCTGCCTTGCTCACAGTGAGTCAGTTAAAAACGTTTCTCTCTCTCCAAATTTCTGTACATGTTATATCCAATAAAAGAAATATACTTAATATACTTATCTGCCCACAATATGTCCCGTACGTCATATACTTAAATACCATCTGTGAAAAGTTTGTGCATTGTGGAACAGATCAGTTAACTATAATTATATTTCAAAGGTTGTTTGCACACACAGTGATAAGGTATTGATCTTGGTAATATTTCAAGCAAAATTAAAAACAATTTAAGCAGTTGATGTGGTCGTGGGCAGTAATTTTGCTCAAAATATGACTTAAGTCAAAAAATTTTCGTTCTGTGTAACCAACCATTAAAATATATAATTAAAATTAATTGGTACTTGAATACATTATAATTACAAAAGATTCGGATAAATTTAATTCATCTCTAAACCTGAGTGTGTGATTATTTATAGTCAATCATATTTATTAACCTTATGACCGGTTACAAATTTGTGAAATCATAATTCACGGAAACAAATGATATATGTGCTTTTATCCTAACTGTAGGATACCTGGAATCTTCTAAGACAAATAACTCAACGTACTTTACTTGTCATTTACAAATGGTATTAAAACACCACAAAGAAAACAATTTGCACGATTATTAGAGACCGTTTTAAGAACTGATAACAAACACAGTATATATGCAAAAATTACCTTCATGAACAATTTTCAAATGTCTAGCCATACCGTGTTTGGTAGAAACAACTTTTCCACACAAAGCACATGCTTGGTCATTAAACGCTACAATAAATTTGAGCAAAAAGACATGGGAATTAATCGTTAATGTGTGTAAAAATAGAGCACTGTGACAACATGAATTGTGATACACGTGAGAGCAAATACAGTTGCAATTCGGCATTAATCAGATTATCAGGGTAAAAAAAAATTAACGAAATCTAGTTCACTAGGAATTTAGGAAAAGCCATTATAACAGTATTGTCGGTATAGACTAAGAAATGAATCACGCGGATTAATGTAATAACAATGTAACAGAAGAACCAAGTAGGCATTCCCTTAGTATGCAATAACAAAAGGTTTTCGTTCAGAACTATGAACTCTGCGGAGCCAAGTAATAGTCTGTGTCCAATTAGTTGTAGGGCTTCTCTTATGTGGACACTGACTTGGTACAATCTGAGCATTAAGAGATAGACTTTCGAAAAGAGATTTGCAGGGCTAGTGAAGAGTGAATGGTACAGGAGCCATTAAGATGTCATTCACATATTTGGAAAATACCGAAGTCGGTGTTTTACGGTGGCATCACTAATTGAAAAATTAGTCCTACGCTGTCCACATGTACACCTTACAATTATTTACACGGGGTGCAAACAATCCTACAAAAATGAGATGATCAAGCAGAGTCGACTCAGATTCTAAGTTTAGAAAGACTTGATTTTACAGACTTAAAGCGAAACCATGTGCGTCAAAGCGTTGTAAACTCAACCTTTGAAAGCCAGAGATAACCTAAATCGGTATATGCCTCTCTTGTCTTCAATACGTGACTGGCGATTTCAACCGGCATACCTCCAACTAGCAGTTGCACAACTAGCAAGAAGCGATAAATTTTCGATTACCTCTAACTTTCCTCCCGCTAGGGTGAGTGCGGGCACGGGTTTCAGTCAGTCTTGTGAAAGTACTTTGCACTTCTATCAAACAAAGCAACTGCTCAACCGAAGGTGTGTCTACAAAAACGCAATTAATTTCTTAACTTTCTCAAAATCTACTCTAACGATTGTTCAAACAATGAACTTGTAATAACCAGTTACATTTCAATATCACCTAACTTTTCAAGAATTGCTGTTGATCAAAAAGCAGCCATGAAAAGCGAGACTCTTCTTTCTCAAAAACAATGTAGTAACCTAAACTACATATTTAACTTTGTGTTACAGATGGATGAATGATTTTTATGCGTCTCATAGACTTATACCAGTACTTATCATTCAGTTAACGGCCTTAATGCTCAAATTAAAATTTGACCACTATAATCGTTTTGATTTTAGCCCAGAATCGTTGTCCACTAGTTGAGAATTCTTAGGATTCACGGCACCCCTATATCGCCCTTGAGTTAACGTACTGAATTTAAGATAGTAACACTTAAATTTTTGGAGATAAGTTGGTCTAAATAACGTGAAAAGAAGAGTGGTGAGTTTTCATAAAGGGTGCATTGTGAAATATGCACAAAAATTATTAAAGAATGTGCTATGCAATTCCGAATATAGGGTATCTGGTGGTTGTAATGAAAGCAAGAGAATTTACAATTCATGCGTGAACAGCAACATTGCAGGAGGTTGAACAATGATCAATTTACTTTACAACCAATGTAACAATGCACAGGAAAACATGAGCATTCTACATTAATGTAACAGTGTCCACTTCTACGAAGCAATGCATTTGTTATGATGAATTGGGGATATTTGTTATGAAACGATGTAATAAAAGAGATAGACATAAATAACGTGATATAGCTGTACATTCCATGTCACCACAGTGAGGCAGAGAAAAGAGTATGAAATATAAGACAGCTGTGTGGTATGAAGTAAAATTAACAGAATGAAAAGTGTGGTTGGATAATGACAGGGTATTCAATATTTGCAAGGATAATAGTGTTATGTAAAAAAAACATAAGGTCTAATTTTTTTGATCCTTTATATGCCTGAAAACCAAGTAAATGACACCATACGATTACGTCACTACTTAAAAAGATTGATTATTGAACAAAGAATATTCTTTTCGATAACTTCATCAACAGGTTCCATAGTTATACAGCCATAATAATGACAGAATGATTGTTATTGACAACATTAGTGGTTATTAAAAAGTAACATCGAATCATTTGGATCAGAATTCCAAAAGTTGTTTGCAGATAGATTATAGTCCAAAATATATGTATGTGGTAATAGGTATAATTGTAATACTAAATTGAACGCCAATATTACAAAGTAAATGATTATGAATGACAACGAATGTATAGTAATAAATTCTATTCATATTAATTATAAACTTCAGATGGACAGATGATCATGTCAAGGACTGGGGAAGAGAGAAAAAAAATTTTGGGAGGAGAGCGGGTGGCATTTTACGTGCGTTGTATGTGTCAGTGTGTAGGTTAACAACTACGTTTAAATAAGAAAACAAAAGGTTAATTAAGCAAGTATAATGACAGGATGGAGGACCATATCAAAAAAGGCCGATGTAATAAGGTATTTATGAATTCGCAGACTTCACAGCAGGCCAGGGTAGTAATAGTAGTTGAACCTGTTTATTCTGTACATAGAGCACCGGTTGTTTTAGGAGAATTACAATAGCCTTTGCTGTTTGGAGTATTCGGTACCTGGATGCTTTTGGTAATTTATTTGGTGCCCCGTAGATGGTACAGAATGATTCTTCAATGCTGACTTTTTGGCCGGTTTGGACCAGGTGGTCTAATATCGAACTGTTGATGGTTTTTACTACACCTTTATTTAGCCACACTGGTAGGTGTTCCTGAGCACGAAAAATCAAGTTCCTAGAGCAACGGCCAATATACCTCGTTCCACAAGCGCAATTGAATTGGTACATACAAGAAGAGGTAGATAATCTAGTTACTTCAACTTTCAATCGAGGAATCACTTCACTATTTACGAATCTCTAACTCTAATCACTTAAATTTCGGTTAGCTACATAGATCAAATTCATTGAGTTCACCAACTAAAATAATTTGATGTATTGTTACGATTATAACCTTTCGGGGTATTTCCGTTTTATTTAGTTCTATTTCTCAAGGAAGAATGAATACAGCTGTGATGAAACTAAAAGTTATTCCCTGCTAAAAGTAAACCAGCTTGGAAACGTTTACGCGTAGTTGACTGATAATTTGGTTTGAAAATTAAGTATTTTATGAAGTCGAATCTCATGACTTAATTAAAATATCTACGTCAGTAGAAAGATGTTGCTGTAATTTTATTTAACTCAAATGTAACTGAGACTCAGATTTCAACAATTTCTCTAACAGCTTCCAAAAGTTTGCACTGTATTCGTTCTTAGTTACTAGTCTGCTTTTTCGTTGAACTATAAAAGTGACTATCAAGGGTGTAAAGGATTTTACCGGCTACGAGAAGAAAGCAGTTTAGGTGCTTTATATGAATATTCAATCAACAATCCTATTGGCATAGAAAACAAACTGCTAACTAAGAAGTCTTCTAATACTGTTAAGGAAGCTCCAATATGGAAATACTGAAAGGTTCTGATAAAGATGTAACTACGCTAGAGCGTCTATCATGCATGTTTCAGCAAAATATACCATCGCGACAAAAACCAATTGTAACTTTCTTGTGGTGGGATGAATAATGTTTCACAAAACTACCCATATAGTAAGAATATGCTTCTAATCCTTAAATGGAGTAATAACAAAACCAACAGTATATTATAGACAATATGAAAACCTTAATTGAGGCCATCAACTGAAATAAATATGCTTCAATGTAACGGCCAATTTTTAAATAAGTAGTGACAACCACGGATACCAAACATGCCCATCGACCTCGAATTATTTAGATATTTTCATGTCTCAGCATAAACTACTAAAGCCAGATTGCAGAAAAAAGAGAGCACGACTAGGAAGTGAATGGGAAATAAGATATTTTTTAATGACCATACATCACTTGTAAGTCTCAACATGTTACTGGGATTACGAAACTTTGTCACTCCTTGGCTTTCCCCAAACCTTGAAGTCAACAAATGCAAACCACATTTTGTTGCCAGGCTTAAAAGTTTTCCGGCAACTTACACTCACTCGTGACAGCTGAAATTACGTAATCTGTGTGTATAAGAATAATATATATGTCAGCTGGCGTAGCATCCTAATGGACAACCTTTGACCTAAGTGTTTAGAAGCACGTAATTTAATGGAGTACAAACAAATCATAGCCCAAAGTCATATCCAATGGTGGTTTCTGTATCCCCAATAAGACCAGTAGAATGCCACTATGATTCCTTAAACACTACCATTCAAACTTCTTACAAATACAGTGTAGAATCTTAGGGACAATAATGCAACTGTATAACACATTACATATTTCCCTTTATAATAGGCTATAGGTCATACTTGATTCAGTAAAGTTCTACAACGCTAAGTAAATGAGAAGGCTCAGACCTAGAAATAATCTGTATTGCCAAATGCATTTTCAGGTTTACTATTTGTGTTCGTAAAACAAAGGGCGAATATTCAACAAAGTTTATTCGGAGTTAATTCAAAATTTCCACACTGTCTGCAATTTAGATATATAACATATCAACACTAGAAGATATCTAAATACTTAAATGATATTGCTTACTAATTTATTTGGTACAAGTCAATTTATAATTTCGTGTCTTAGAATTCAATGAATCTTTACTAAAGATTCTTCGTTCACAAGACATTTTTAACTCGAATGATGTTCGTAAGTGTTGTTTTGAAAAATCACAAATGCTGAGATCATGTTGAAACACTAACACGTTTAGTATACTTAAATTGCAGGTCAATAAAGCGTCTATTACACTGGTAAATTAATAAATTAAACATGTGTACCCTCTCTTCAAAATCAGAATATTAGCAGGGTATATATATATGTATATATATATATATATGCACGCATAACTTACAGTTCATCTGGACGGACCAAAATGTCACACGCCAACGACAAATGACCAAGGATAAATCCAAACAATTACTGGAAGTTGGCAAACAACATTGTAGAAATAGCTTTAGACATAATGTAAATTAAGGCAACAGACATGCAATATCAGCTAAAATTTTCTCCGTGAAATCCTATACATTTAGGTATTCTAAATATTTTGGCCACCTAAATGAAACATGTTTAGTTTACGGATTAACCAAGTTTACTGAAATATTCATGGTATTTAGCGTACTATACAACCGAATGGAATTATAAGATAAAAACAGAAAGGATTAATAGCTGAAGGCGTTATGCAGATTAGATGTAATAGCCCTATCTATAGTTCAACCAAAAATCTGGACACGTTAAGTTGATGATACATTTGTAATAATTAAAAGAAATGATTTGGAATATACCCACAAATTAATAAACAACAGATTTGAAGATATTCAATTCACAAGAGAAGAAGAACTAGACAACAAAGTCCCATTCTTAGATGTCTTAATTAAGAGAACCAACACAGAAAATTTAGAAACAGAAGTATATAGAAAATCAACGCACACAGACCAAATACTCAACTGTAATAGTAATAACACAATTACCCACAAACTAAACTGTGTGCAGACATTGTTTAAAAGAGTTCAAACACACTGTAGCACTCCTCTGTTGAACAGAATGGAGGAAAAATACCTACTAACCATCTTCAACAAGAATGCATATCCTCACAATTTCATCAAAAAGTGTTTAAACTCGAGTCATGACACCAACAACAAGCCCACATCAATGACCACAAGGAAGTTCATACTACCATTATTTTGAAAATATATCCAAAATAACAGCTAGAATATTGAAACCGTTTGAAATAGACACGGCACACAAGCCAATACAATCACTTTATTCGATATTGTGCAAACCAAAAGAACCAACAGAAAAAGGTGATAAAATTACTACCATTTACAAAATAAATTGTATGAACTGCAATAAATATTACATCGGTCAACGTAAGCGTCCCATTCGAATCCGAATCCAAGAACACAAATTGGCTGTAAAAAGACATGATATATATTCTTTCGTATGAATGCATATGGAAAATTATGGACACCAATTTGATTGGGATAATGCAGAAATTTTAAATAGAAGAAAAACCAAAAATGTCAGGGAATTCCTACAAGCCTGGTACTCAAGTGAATTAGCAATTAACAAACACACTAATATAGACCAAATTTAGCAGCCAATAAAAGGTAAATCACATGAAAAGAAAGTTCGAATTCCAAGTCAATAAAAATATGATCAATGGAGACGTAAATTAACATCTAGTCACTACAGTGGTTTCCGGGAGATACGATGACATCATTCATGGAGAATTTGGATAAGTTCATTTTACACCAAACCTGCGCTGAAGATTTTGTCTAGAAGGACGACGAAAGCTTTGCAATTAAATCAATCAGCTCAGTGAACATAACTAATTCAAAAAATGACTAAACTAATCTACAGGACATTTGTGCAGGTGTATGCAGCTTATTTTACAACATTAAACTGACGTAATACACAAGTTAGTCACTGGCTGACTGAGTCAGCTTTAACATAGACCTTTGCACAGAAATGCAGCGGCCTAAGTTGCCACACTCCATAAAGCATACAGGAAAAGAGAGAAAATGGCGACTATGATAAGCAGGAATTTAAGGGGGAAAGAACAATAACTCGGAGACACATTAGGGTTTAATGGGTATGGGATATCACAGAGTGAAATCATCTCCGCCAGTGAATGATTTTAAACCACATTACCAATTGTCTCCAGCCATTGGTTCTACGCATCCGCAGCCATCTCAACCGATGTAGCTTCACAACCTTATCCATTGACTTTCATTCCTCACCTAACATTTGACGCTGAATCTTAATATTACCATATTATAACACCTAAATTGGGAGATAGAACATAGACACCTCTGATCAAAAACAGAGAGTCTTTTCATGTCACTTTTCATAGCTGTTTTACAACAATAAAGGAAAACAGAGTGAACAGGTCGTTTGATCAATATCCCGATACTACGTCTACGCCAGAGATGATGTAGTATGGCAGATGTCCCATGAGCCTTTTTTATCCATGCTGAGATTTCGTCAGCAATCAGTTCCTTGTGGCTGGTCCCACTTTCCAAATAGATAAAGTGTCTAACGCGCTCTACCTTTTCACTCCCTTCTCTCAGCTCAAAGTCAGTGTATTTCAATACTGTTGCATCATCTTACATTTGACAGGAGCAAACCACATGTCAAATATTCGAAGATTGCTATCTAGGGTGTTTAGAAGACTGTGTTGGACCCATATTAACTAGAATATTTAGCACAGGCAGCACCAAGCATTTAGATTTACTCCATGTTAGTTGTGCAACAAATAGATACGAATGTAAACGCATGTTGATCTTCTGCCAAGGAACAGCGGGGGGGGGTAAAATAGAACACTGCTCACATAGCGGCGAAACAAGTAAGAATCTTGCACTCACGTAGAAAGTTTTGAGAAATTATGATGCACTTCTACAGATAAAATCGTTGGAGTTGGAAATAAGGTTTCAAACATACTAATTATGTATACATCAAAAGTATGCACAACAGTGCGTCTGAATAAACGTTTGCTTGTCTTTACAGGGAATATAACACTCATTAGATAAACGTGATTTAAATAACCTAAGAATAAAATGCTTGGGTATAACTGGGTTTCAGGTCTTTGGCATCCGATATCGCTTTTACGAGCTAGTATGAACCAATTTGATCTCTTTGTGCTCGCGTCTTGATTGTGAGGCAAAGGTTCCTGGTCTTCGGTAAACTTCTGCGTAGTTCGTCCCGCCACTCGACTGTAGCTTTGGTTGACTCCAAAAGGAGTATTGCTGGGACTAACTAATTATACGTTGTTTGTAGTATGCGATGTGTTAAGACTTTTTTACTGCTGTGAATGGAGTTGAACCTTTCACAAATTAGTTCTCCGGTATCGTCGTGTAAAGGAAATGGATAGTGATAACAGATATGCGCAAGCTTTTGACAGAATGTCATAATTTTGCTTGAAATCCATTAGCGGAATGAATTTAAGCATATTAAAAGCCTATAAAATAGGCAAATATTACCAAACTCACCTAGAATTTAGGTTAATGCAAGTCTATCCCGTTCAGAAGCGTCCAAACCACATAACGCGCGTTCTACTGGTTCCAGTATCCATTATCCAATATTTTTTATTATTTATTTATTTTGATTATAGCTTGAATCCACACTGTATTTTTGATATAAGTATGGAATTTTCAACATGTGATATCGGTAGCCCAAATTTTGCAGGCCCATCATTGATATCAGGTATACGTCGGCAGGGGATCGAACCCCATACCATATGATTGGTCGGCGAGGGTCCTAAACGCTGTGCCACTGATGCACCTGTCATAGAATTGGTAAAAAAGCGTTACACTTAGGATTTCTCAGGTTTGAAAATTAAGTCGTCAAAATCAAGTGACAACTTTGCAATTTAGGTCCTTCATTTGGCTCTTCCAAATATACAAATCAAATAAGGAATTGGTTATAAGTGGTAATCAGTTAAGGTTAAGTTTTAGGAAACGATTAAAAGAATACTCTAGCAGCATTCACTATATTTCGTCGGCTTTTTGCGTATAGTCAACTTCAATGTACTGCCGCAATTGTTTGCGTAGTACTACCAGTGTGTGCCCATAGTATTCGCCTAGGTGGCACAGTGCTTAGGACTCTCGCCAACCATGCACATGGTCCGAGGTCCGATCCCCCTCCGACGCACACCTGATATCTATGGTCGGTGTGCTACATTCGGGCTACCGATATCACATGCTGAAAATTTTGATACTTATACCAAAATACTGTGTGGAATCAAGCTATAATAAAATAAAAATAAAAAAAATAAATAATTAACAGTCACGACTTTTGAAAGCACACACATCTCGTGAGCTCTTATTGTCCCTCTCTAAGCCTGATAGACTATTAAAGCAGCAGTATGGTCCATAACTAACATCACTTATGCTAGGTGGAAGAAATCAATCATTATTTGATAAATTACGTACTTAAAACCAAATTTTCACAAAGTATTCTCAAAACTGAATGTTATATGTCCTTTGTCTATGTAAAACTGAAAAGTTCCTATCTGCGCACTGACCTATGACTCTGTCAAACTTTCTAAACGGAATTCACGCTTGTCTTGTGTCGCCGTTTGCTTCGAGAGAGGGAAACTCTACTCCTTAGTTAACTGCTTGTGCTCCAGTTGTTTGATAATTGTGATAATTGTACTGACATCACAACAATATCTGACACAGTTTATAAGATCTGCATTATGAACGACATATAGCTGCATATAAATGATCTCAGGACGAAATTAGGTCTACTTGACTTCATACCAGAAACTATTTCATATACTGGAAAAGGACTGGGGTATCTGAATTTTCTAAAACTCTTTAATTCGAGGATTGACCCAACTCATACTGACTCTGAAAATGCTGGAGAATTAGACAGCGCTATGGACTTTTTGTCCAGCGAAGTTGTTAAAAGACTCGCATCTAAACAGTTATCTATGGTCCACAATATACCATACAATGAGCCTATAAAGATAAGATCACTTGTATTTATTCAACACCTAAACCGAAATGAACTGACAGGAACAAAGCCAAAAAGGGTTGATATTGATTCATACTTCATAACCGGTCTTATGGACACTAGATATGCACCTAATAAATTGAGGGAATAGGCTTAATTAGAGAATGCAACACGCCATCTAGTCTTCAGCCTATTTGATCTGGTCAGACGGTGTAGATCAAAATCTACGGCCGAAGGCTGTTGGTTTTATGTATCTGTTCATCTAAATACTTTTCTGAGAAATCCACCTGCTAGTCTCACTCTCTTACTATGTATAAATATATTGCAAAATATGGGTGTGAGTGCTGTATTTTTCTGGAACTTAGGATTCCTCCAGATAAGAAACAGTTCATGCATAATGAAATTTTTTTAAGCAGTAATTGATAAACATATTGTTATGAAAGATTATATTAGGTCCAGAAAGGCAATAGTGACAGGCAAGTTTCAATATTGTTTATTGAACACTTAGTGTTTCAATACGTCTTGGAGTGGAACAGTGCTTTTTGTACCTTCTTTTGTTACCTTCAAAAGCCAAGAAGTCAGTTTTCTTCTGGGTGGCCTATAGTCGCTGGAACCGAATTTGGAGTATTTTCTAAGTGTTCCTCGATTTTGGTTGTTTGGGACAGTTTAAGTTAATATTTTTCACACTGTGAGTGAAAGTATACTTGTGTTGTTTACATTTCCCATGTTATAGTGTAATTGGCAATAAATGTGAACTACTGTATTGTTAACTAGATGTGTACTGCGATATTAGTCACCGGAAGTTTATTTTTGACCTCTCTCTTTCTCCCCTTGAACCTCACTCAAATGAGACTTCAAAATGGTTGAAACTGGTTTCAGTGAAGAAAACAAGTCGGAAGCAGATTCCAGGCGTTGTATAAATATTTCTGGATTGAGTGCAAAGCTTCCATGTGAAACTTCTGAAGGACGCAAAACATTAGTGTGCTTCCTCCGAGAATTGTGTGGTACTGTCCAGTCTTCCTACAATGAGGATATAGTTGAACTCAACTTCATACAGAGTGGATCTATTCTGATAGAGTTTTACAAATGGAGGCGACGAAATACTCAAGAATTAATGCAGGCCTTATGCTCCGGTCACCTAGATCCAGAGGATCTTGCCTTAGTAAGCGGTTTCATGTCAGGCCATATCTCAAGCGATGCAGTTTTTCCACCTTATGGCGCTGTTTATCCTAGTCTGTGTCCACAGTCAACACAGGACCATGATTCTGAAGATGAGGATGATGAGGTGAGCAGTACTTTTCGCTGCAATTTTATTTGTTATTTTGATATTGTAGATATTCTCAGTGTAGCGATATAAATTTTTAAGAGATTTTAGGGTTTCCACTTTAAACATTGAGGTGATGAAGTCAGTTTTAGAAAAAAACGCCTATATCCTCTAAAAAACACCTGGTTGGCTAAAGCACTATTTCAGCAGTAGTCAAAAAGAAAGACTGCTTCAAAAATTAATGGTTTCTCAGTAACTATCACGAGATAGGTTTTGCATATTTACAGGTGTAGTACTTACTATACTAGGTCATTTAAATCAATACTGTGAAGTTGTATGTCTTGCTAGTAACATATAATCTACTAAAGTGTTCAAAACTCACCAAGTACAACCGTTATTCCTCAATTTGGCCACTGTAGCTGTACAGAAATCTATAACATCCACTTACTTGAAACTGGCAATTTTGACATTGAAGTCGTCATCAGTGACTGTATCGTTATATATTTAATGTAGTTTGCACCTTTCGTGCAGATGACAGACTGCCTATTGGTCTCAACTAAATATTTTTCTCTTCGTCAGCTTAAACTGAATAATTGACTATCGTTTGCTTGCACGTTTCATACAGTATACTTACTGTTTAGCCTAATTGTGCATTTATGGTTGATTGTTAGGATATAAAAATTATTTTAGGAAGCAGTTGATGCTAATCTTAAAATATTTGAAGTAGTTAGAAGAACAGCCAATTTATTACTGTCCTAAGTGCATTAATAATGTTAGTTATGGTTAGTTTCTGTTTTTTTCTAAAGTACCATTACCAATAGTTTGCAGAAAACATATTGCACACCTTCAGTTGAGAAAAGGTTAAGATTCAGTAGTAGTGTAACAACAGAAGACAAGGGCCAGGCAACAGATCAGTTTTATTACGAAAACCAACAGGTATTTATATGTATTTTACGTACATTAATAGGCTTCTGCCCGCAGAAAGAAGGCGGTCTTCTGATTGGTTGTTTGCAAACAAACGCAGTCTTCTGCTTTCTCGTTTTCGATATTTCTCGGAAATGCGAGCCACTTGTCTGCGAATCATATTAGTCCACGTCTAGGTCAGCTGTGATCGGTTGTTGAATCAGCCTAGATTAATTTCTACCAATCAGCGTAGATCAATGTCTACCAATCGGCTAGCAGCTTGCTCTCACCACACTCGTCCCCCCGTCAAATAGCTTGGACTGAATTCGGCTCGGTCTTCTGGATTCTTGGGGATTTGCTCTGTTGTCTTGCTGTCTGGAATCTCGGCGCTTGCGGATGTCCACTTGTTTAACGGTGTTTACCATTGCGATTTTGTCTGCGTAACCCCATCTCAACGTGACCATATATGGTCCTTCCCACTTTGGAAACTGTTTGCCTGACCCTGTCGCACATTCGTAGGTATTTCGCCTCACACTTCCATATGCTGCTTTCCCCCGACCTCCCAGCAGCGTCCCAAGTAGCAGTCTCATCGCTGACAGATCTTGAACGCTACTCAACTGCGAAGAAGCCTCGAAGTCCTGCCCGAAGATCCATATGTCTCCATCAAAAACTGCAGGGCATAGGCTTTCCATTTGTCGGTAGGCAGCGACACCAAATGTAACAACAGAAGACAAGGGCCAGGCAACAGATCAGTTTTATTACGAAAACCAACAGGTATTTATATGTATTTTACGTACATTAATAGGCTTCTGCCCGCAGAAAGAAGGCGGTCTTCTGATTGGTTGTTTGCAAACAAACGCAGTCTTCTGCTTTCTCGTTTTCGATATTTCTCGGAAATGCGAGCCACTTGTCTGCGAATCATATTTGTCCACGTCTAGGTCAGCTGTGATCGGTTGTTGAATCAGCCTAGATTAATTTCTACCAATCAGCGTAGATCAATGTCTACCAATCGGCTAGCAGCTTGCTCTCACCACAGTAGCACTAGTAGTAACAGCACATGGCTCAAAAATGTGAAGACAGTATGTGGATAAGAAGCGTTTCTGAAGTGAGCGTACGTTCTATCTTCCCTTGGTTATCCAAGATTTTAGGACAAGTCTTCCCGTTATATTCACAAGGAGACTAGCTTAATTAACACAGTATTTACAATTGTAGGTTCAATAATTATGAGTAGGCAAAGCGGCGTTCGGCAGAAACAAACCTGTGGAAACCATATAGGGCTTAGGTCCTGATAAGCGCGTATTGGCCATATCGTCACCCTTCGACAGATTCTGGAACATACACATACTTACGGGCGTCCAACATTTGCCACACTCCACCTGAAGGTGGCGTTCGACTCCATTGAACGAGATGCTGTTGCAATTTCTCTCTGAGAAGGGAGTGCCAAGGACGTATGTCGCACTGTTTAAGGCACTACTCATACTCACGCAGCCGTTTAAGAGCTTATAAAAAATTGTCATCTGAAGTGAGAACAGTCAGTGGTTTTCGTCAGGAATACCCAATATCCCCATTTTAAATAGTTTCTTCATGAATGTGCTAATGAAATCGGCCCTAAATAGCTTCTTTGACTTAGGGATTGACTCGTTACCAGGGAATAATTTCGTTGACTTGGAATATGCCGATGATGTAGTCATCCTACATGAAGACACTGACAGAATGCAGAGTCTTCTAAACACCTTGGGCAGCAATCTTCGAATGTCTGGCACGTGATTCGCTTCTGTCAAATGTAAGGTGATGCTACAGGACTGGATTAAATCGACTCCCAGCTTAAAGATAGAGGGTGGAGTGGTCAACGAGCTCTTGGGATCAGTCTACGAAGACTGACAGTTGGTTCGAACCATGTAGGGAGATGTAGGTTTCCTGGTTGGCGTCCTCGAGATGCTAAGAACTAGTGGCTAAAGAATGGTGATATGGCTCGAAATTGGTCTCATCGGCACATGTTCATTCACTCTTTGGGATTTGTCATAACCAATAAAAATCGATTGTTTCTCCGTATTACTATTCTTTTTGTCTCACACTTCTGTCTATTATCTGTCTTTTGAACCTCCCTTTACTTCTCTTGCTTTTTGTTCTGCATGGAGAGTGGCAACTCGAACTACTGCATATCTGTGCAAAGTTCTATTTGGAAACGATACCTCATTTCACATACAAAAGGCTCGTGTGGCATTCGCTGGCTTACTCCTGCATTCATGTGGAATCGCAGCGCAACTCGATGCGCAATAGTATATATACGAACAAACTGAAAAATGAAGTCCTCCTGGTGACACATTGTGATATGAAAGGAAGTGAGACGGTTAGATCACCAGCGTATTTGGCGAAGTTGCTCTCATTAGAAAGAGGAAAGTCATGTAAACCGAGAGAGATAACAGTACCCTGAGGAACACCAGCTTCAGCAGGGAAGGAGGAAGATTTACCCTCGTACACAGTATGCTGCATTCTAATTGAGAAATGATAATGCAACCAGTCAACTGCCCAGGACTCGTGTTCGCACGACCGAAACCTTATTTAACTAAAGTCATCTAGGTCCTGAGTCAACGACAACGGCGAATGCTGAATGACCGAAAGCTTAGCACAAAAGTGACAAAGCACGAAAAGCACTTGCAAAGTAGGAGGCGAGTCCCGGGTGGAAGAAGAGACTACTGAAAGGTATCTGTTTTTCAGTTAGGAAAGAACAAGATTAAGAAGTACACTTATCATCTGTTGACATTCTGGAGATCATTATTCAGTGTTTCGCATTTAGTTATGCCTAGACTGTGTTATTCTGCCTGGCTTTCAGTATGACTTCGCAAAGAAGTCCAACTGTTTAGTTTACCACATTCCATGCACCACACAAAGGTAGAGACATAAAACCAAGTGGAAGTCTAACGGGCGAAAATTTGAGGGAGAATAAATAGTGACAGGGGAAAACATGAGTTGAATAGATACGTGAGATTACACAGAGTGAATGCATCTGTGCTATTAACAGAGATTTGCAGTCATTTATCTAGTAGTTTTTGTAGCTGGCTGTCAACGATTTTATGTACCAATACTAGTTTTTCATTTGGCCGACCTAAACACCTTTTGAACCTTAACATGTGCTGGCTAACGTTGTCCCTCAAGGAAAACGTTGGCTTGGTATGCTAGCATGTGTTCTAGCCATCTCAACCTATTCGGCTTCCCTGCCTTGTAGACTAACTTACCCTCCCCACCTAAAAATTTATGCGTAACTTCAACAGCAATCGCCATATTATACTGCTTTACTCATGAGGTAGAACACAGACACCTATAATCAAGCACCGGTATTCTTTTCATATTTTCCAGCATCAAGGGTTACTTCTCATAGTCTAGGTGGACAATATCATCAGCAAACTGTAAGCTGATGAGACTATTCCCTGATAAGTCTCCAGAGTCAATTACAGGCTATTCTACTAATATATGTGTGATTGAATTGAACTGATATAAGGATGGCAGTTTAAGAAATCAGCCTTGTGTTACATCCCACTTGGAAATGTGTTTTTTCGGATAATTCACAAACAGTAATCACTGAATAGAAAACATTCTGTAGACTTTATGAAACTCATAAACTCATGCAATTTTTTGCAGGCAACATAGTGTTTCCTCAATAAAGTGAGAATTGGATATTTGGGCTGCATAAAACGAGTAAGTGGTATCCTGACAATACCAATGATAACAACAAGCCTAGGAATTATGCACTACCCAAGCTTACTATAATTCTGAATTAAATCTCACTAGTTCTAAAATAATTCTAACATTCTATAGTGAGTAAATTCTAAATCTGTTCTTGCACAGACTAGAATTCAGTGCCAGTTTGCAGCATGACTGCCACTAATTCAGCACCGTGTTCTTTTCCTAGGCATTTTCAGGAGTAGATCAGTACCTACTGGGCTTGCGTATCAGCACTGTTGCAGCCCTCACAGGACATATTAAGTGTGGACTAACGTTACTTCAGAACGAAAAGACTTAATTCAGCACCCAGCTCTCTTTTAAGGCACAACCAGCGTTACTTCAGAACATAGTGGGTAGATAAAATCTTCATTGACGATAAAAAGGCATTATCGAAGAAGAGGTCAGAATAAGTTTAGAACTGTTGTAAGCTTGGGTACAACTTTTACTTTACTGAATACT